CTTTGCGTGGCTGATATTCGGGTTTGCTGCGTATCATCAAGAGGAGGAGGAGACCATACAACACGCGTACCGCGTCCTGATACATTCCTGTGCCTTTGCCGAATTCTACCGCGCCGTCGAACGTAGCCAACTTCTGCCCCTTCTGGAACGTCACGGCGCGCTCGTACCTCCTCATTCTGCCGCTCTTCAAGATATCCTCAGCTCATCTCCTCCCGCGTTCAAAGCTGTCTGGTACCTGAAGCAGTTTATTGTTCTATCTTCAACGCCAGGCGCCGCTCGCATGGGCTCAGACGCTTTCGAGCCGCATATTCCTTCGCTGCATGCATTCGGCCTCACCGACGATCTCGAACCAGACGAAAGGGAAGCGCTGGAGAAGGTGTACAGGAAGGTCCTGCTGCACCCGGCTGCCGCGCCTCTCGATCTACAAGCCGCGATGGAGCGCAAGGGTTTGGCGGCACACGTACTACGTCTCCCGTACGTGGGATGGTTGTCCAAGGCGGAGTGTAAAGCGCTGAAGAGGCTGAGAGAGCAGTCTGGTAGTTCTCCGACTTGATTATGATCTCCTACGCCCGCACGTGTTCTTGTCATTCTCGCAGAGAGCTTAGACGTGCATCTATTCAGCTAAAGACATGCCGAGTAGATAGTACGATGCACTTCATTATTGTTATCCGATGCCGAATCCAGAGGTAGCTGAGAAATATGTTACAGTTGAGCCTGCTGACTGCACGAGACACTTTCGCAGCCACCGACGCGACCGCTTTCACGCATCGTCGCGGTGAACGGAGAAAGCCCGGCCCGATGCATATGGTGACATCCTGATGCCCCAGGTACAGCTAATCTGACTTCCAACGTGGCATTGTTGGTGGATGGGAGCGCGGCATTCTCCTGGTGAGTGTCGGGTGACATTCTTTGTCTCAGGATGTCGAGCTGTAAGCACTTGACGTGATGTGGCCTGGGACTACCTCTCGAGTTGCAGAGCTCCTAGCCACGCGTCCATAAACGCGCCGAGAGAGCCCTAAGCGCCCAGTATGACGTTAGAAGACGCTGTACTTGATTGCTACCGATGTGGCATGAACATGTCGTGGCGAGGAGGAGGAGGCGGAGTTGTCGCCAAGGCCGGTGCCTGCCGATACGCGTCTTCGACCGTCCCATGCCACATGTGGTCCGGCAGGGTATCCCCCAACTTTTGGAAACGACAGATCCCTGGAGGGTGGTCTCCCGGCGAGGAAACTTGGGTAGTACTGCAGCCATTTCTTCTCGAAAAAGGCTACGTCCTCCGCGCGAGGTACCAACCAGGTTCGCGAGAATGCGCATCCCACGTCATCGTATTAACCGACAACGCAGGCTGGATACCATCATGGAGTGGCCTGCAGAACTTTTATTTGTTCTCAGATTTTGAGGATGGTTTGATGAACAAGGTTCGTACTACCTGCTACTTGTACACACCGGTCTGACGTTGAATCAGCGGTTCAATATCATCGATGCGACGAAGGCATCGGACAGGGCTCAAGTCATGCTCAAAGCCGTGTTGAAACTGAGCGATCCTTCTCAAGGCATTGGCAGTTATTTTGCACAAGAACCGCAACGCTCCGATCCTCGAAATCACTGCGCGCCTCTCTTGGATGTCCTGCACCCACCCTCTGTCCCTGACCGGGAAATCTTAGTGTACCGCCGGTACCTACCTTGGGATATCTGGCCTTTTCAACAAGTGTCCGAAATTGTCGATTTATGGACGCAAGCGTTCGAGGTGCGTGCCCCTTGCCCCTCCGCATGTCTAGCCGACATTAGACAGGGATTGGCCTTTATGCACGAACACAATACTGCTCATTTGTACGTCGTATCCTCGGAATACGACCGTATCTGATGTCGCGCAGGGACTTGTCGTTCTCGAACATCGTCATGGATGGCCTGCACCTGCTCAAGGAACCAAACCACCCTGCAAATCCGGGTTACACCTACGCGCCTAAGAAACGAGCCGTTCGACACATCGAGCGCTTTGAATCGGAACGGCCTGTCAAGTATATCTTTATCGACTTCGACCAATCCGTCCGCTTCGGCCCTGACAACCCCAACCACCTTTGGCGACGAAAGAAGGGGCAAGATAACACGGCGCCGGAGCTGCGCTCTCCAGAACCGTACGACGCTTTTGCGCTGGACGTTTATTGCCTCGGCCACATGATCTTGACGCACTGGTTGAACGTGCGTGGCGTCGTTCTATTACGTTCCGTGCTCAAACTAGCGCAGGCGTATAAGAACCTCGAGTTCGTGCGCCCTCTTGTCCAGGACATGATGTATCAGGATCCAGCGAGGCGTCCTACAGCGCGCGACGTCGAGGCGCGATTTCGAGTGATCGTAGCTCAACTTTCTGCGAAAGACCTTCGCAAGTCCCCGCGCCGCGTGCACGGATACGACTTTACAGAGTATATCCTTGGAAACGTTCCTGCCCGCGTCCCGCCGCAGGCTTCGACAGATGACAGTCTCTTGAGCAAGCTCTTCCGCAGACGCAGAGTTGCGAGCACGCCGAACAGGCCGACTCCTTCTGGAGGCTCATCGTTCGCCACTGCAGACGACCTGAGTACGAGGATGGCCTCGGAACCGCGACAGTCATGACGATGCCAGATGCTCTTTGCGACGACCATTCTCTGTTTTTATGTTGCTGTCGTGCTATCGTGCTCCTTCCTTAGCAAATATACATCTGTACTGGTCTGGCCTGGGTAGTTTGACATTCTGTGCTAAGCTTTCAAGTGCACTCTTGCTCTACCTGGCATAACGAGTCCTCTGGTGTCACCAGCAGTGAACATAACTTGTACTGATTTCCTCGCCTCTTGCCTCAGTGTGATCAGTGCATCTGGAAAATCTCCGAACACAGGCCTGGTGGTCTAGTGGTATGATTCATGCTTAGGGTTGCCCGTTGGGCGCCAATGCGTGAGGTCCCGGGTTCAATCCCCGGCTAGGCCCTGTCTTTTGCTTCCACTCACTTTGGCTCCGCTTTTGCAGTTCTTCCATGTGCGTATGACCCTCCTAGTCCCCGCTTGTAGTGTATTTTGTAGCGTTGCACTCAACCTCGGCGTGTCCGGGAGTTGTGTCGTTATTTGACCTCGAGGGGCAGCACATTGGCAGCACTAACACTTCGTCGAGACAGAGACGTAACAATGCGAGATGCGTGTTGTGTTCTATGCTGTGTGCGTACATCGGTCTACAGGACGACGGGCTCCAACTAATAGGTACATGTATGTAGATGGGTGGATGCGCGATGGTGAGGATGAATGCATATTGGCAAGAGATGAGGTGGAACCAAGATGGAGCGTAGATCGTTCTTCGTTACACGTTACAGACATGTCGTTCACAGTCGTGCGACTCGTGACTACCTGACTTATTCCCAACAGTCGAGCCGGAACCAGGAGGGTATGAGCTTCCAGATCTTTTCGCGTTCGCGCTGGGACCAGGATTCGAGTGCGAAGGCGCATGCGCGGCATTCAGTCTGGGCTGAAAGGGAATGAGTACCGGTTCCAGAATACGATGTCGAACGTACCAGCCAGCTCGGCGCTCTTGAGGGATCCCAGCTCTTCGGCGACGTACAACGGATCGGCGCTGCCGTAGTGACGGTCGAGCACGTAATGCTGCGTTGCCAACTCGGCGAGCTCGTGGAAATCCTTCCTGCACGCGGCGGGTGTCGCGCAGAACGTTGCGCGCGGGCTAGCGGTAAATTGTGAATGCGTGTGCGAGTGCGCGTGCGCATGGTGATGCGCTTGGTGAGCGTTGCCCGAGCGGATGACGGCCATAGAACGGATGAGCGAGATGATGTAGGACGCCGCGGCCTCCTTGCCCAACACGAGGCGGCGGAAGTCGGCGGACGACAAGCCCAGGGTGTCGACTGCAGGGTCAATCTCCGGTTGCGACGGTAGCATGCCGGTCAGGATGTCGCTTGACGATGCGGGCGAGGGCGAGCCGGCGCGTGGGTCGGTAGAGAGGAGGCTGGAGAACGAGTGTCTTGCGAGCTCGTAGAACGCGCTGGGGAGCAATGCAGGCGCGTTGACCTCGCGCGCTAACGTGAGCACGCGCGCGGCGTGCGGGTAGAAACGCGGCGGTCTCGGGGGCATGTTGATGAAGTCCGGGTGCTCGTCCGTCTTTGGGCTGACGATGCTCTCGCGGTGGGCGCGGTCTGCGACTTCTTCGCGAGCGTCCCAAGTACTGAGAGTTGACGGCCACGCGGCGGACAGGTGCGCTATCGCTCGCGTACGCAACGGTTCGATGAGGTACTTGTTCGACAAACGTAATACACCAGAGACAACAGCGAAATCGGTTTCGCTGTTATCACCGAATGACCTGCACGACGTCAGACCGACGACACAAGGTTGGAGGGATTTACTCACGGGCCATCGTACAGGGCGCGCAACAGGCTCTCGATATCCTGGGCCGAGTCATGTAGTCTCACGACGTCGCAGCCGTCGAGTGATTCCCTTCTGAGCTCTCCGCCGTCGGTGGATTGCGGCATCCCGAACATGTCTCGAAAGACGACCGAATGGCGCGAGAGCTGGGACTTGTGCACTTTGAACAGTGTGTCCTCAGCGACGAGTACGACGGAACCATCAGACAGCCAGAGGTCGTCGTGTCTGTGCAAAGCGGCCAGCGTGGCAGAGCTAGTCGTCGCCTCGGTCATAGCTGGCAATCCCTGATCTCGACGACGGCGGTGAACAAAGTGACACAGAGACCCGAATCATAGCACGCCCAGCGGGGCCGGCGTTGGCGTTCTAGACAGTGATGGCGAGCTCGGCCGTCGACCTGAGGGGGCTGGACGAAGACAAGGAGCGCAAAGTCCCGGCACGCGCGCCGAAACCAGATAATCGATGAGCGAAGGAGGCCAGATATGGTACAAAGGGTTGAAGACGAAGCATAACCAACATTAAAATGAATGGCCTCTGAACACAAAGCGCTCACGCTTCTGTGCTGTGGGAGCAACTCCATGTCTGAGGAGTGATTGGTGTCGGAATCAAAAGACAGGGCCTAGCCGGGGATTGAACCCGGGACCTCACGCATTGGCGCCCAACGGGCAACCCTAAGCATGAATCATACCACTAGACCACCAGGCCTGTGTTCGGAGATTTTCCAGATGCACTGATCACACTGAGGCAAGAGGCGAGGAAATCAGTACAAGTTATGTTCACTGCTGGTGACACCAGAGGACTCGTTATGCCAGGTAGAGCAAGAGTGCACTTGAAAGCTTAGCACAGAATGTCAAACTACCCAGGCCAGACCAGTACAGATGTATATTTGCTAAGGAAGGAGCACGATAGCACGACAGCAGCATAAAAACAGAGAATGGTCGTCGCAAAGAGCATCTGGCATCGTCATGACTGTCGCGGTTCCGAGGCCATCCTCGTACTCAGGTCGTCTGCAGTGGCGAACGATGAGCCTCCAGAAGGAGTCGGCCTGTTCGGCGTGCTCGCAACTCTGCGTCTGCGGAAGAGCTTGCTCAAGAGACTGTCATCTGTCGAAGCCTGCGGCGGGACGCGGGCAGGAACGTTTCCAAGGATATACTCTGTAAAGTCGTATCCGTGCACGCGGCGCGGGGACTTGCGAAGGTCTTTCGCAGAAAGTTGAGCCGCGATCACTCGAAATCGCGCCTCGACGTCGAGCGCTGTAGGACGCCTCGCTGGATCTTGATGCATCATATCCTGGACAAGAGGGCGCACGAACTCGAGATTCTTATACGCCTGCGCTACTTTGAGCACGGAACGTAAGAGAAAGACGCCACGCACGTTCAACCAGTGCGTCAAAATCATGTGGCCAAGGCAGTAAACGTCCAGCGCGAAGGCGTCGTACGGGTCTGGAGAGCGCAGCTCCGGTGCCGTGTTATCTTGCCCCTTCCTTCGTCGCCAAAGGTGGTTGGGGTTGTCAGGGCCGAAGCGGACGGATTGGTCGAAGTCGATAAAGATATACTTGACAGGCCGTTCCGACTCAAAGCGCTCGATGTGTCGAACGGATCGTCTCCTAGGCGCGTAGGTGTAACCCGGATTCGCTGGGTGGTTTGGTTCCTTGAGCAGGTGCAGGCCATCCATGACGATGTTCGAGAAGGAGCAGTCCCTACCCGACGTCAGATGCGATCGTAGGCCCAGGATAAGACCCACAAGTGAGCAGTATTATGTTGGTGCATAAATGCCAACCCCTGTCGGAGCTGTGTCGGGCTACAATACACCGTAGATGGACGCACACACCTCGAACGCTTGGGTCCATAGATCCACGATTTCAGATACTCGCCGGAACGGCCAGATATGCCAAGGTACGTAGCGGTGGTATACCAGTATTGCCCACTCAGGACGGGTGGGTGGGTGCAAAACGCCTAGGAGAGGCGCGCAGTGATTCCGGGGATCGGAGCGTTGCGGTTCGCTGGCAAAATACTCCCCAATGGCTTCAGAAGGGTCGATCTGCTTGTGTACTGCTTTCAGTATCACTGGAGTCCCGTCCAATGTCCTCGTGGCGTCGAGGATACTAAAACGCTGAACAGGGATCAGGGTTCGGGCGTGGGACGGAGTGCAGCGGTACCTCATGCCTCACACCATCCTCGACATCTGAGAAGAGAAAGAAATCGTCTAACCCATTCCACGACGGAGTCCAGTCTATTGTAACGGTCAATATGATGACGCGGGGATCGTATGCTCGCGAACCGGGTTGGAACCTCGCGCGAAGGCTATAGCCTTGTTCAAGGAGAAATGGCTGCAGCGATACCCAGGTTTCTTCGCTGGGACACCACCCGCCAGGGATACGCCGTTTCCAGAATTCCGGGGTCGGCTTCTCGATCCACATGTGGATGGGACGGACGAAGACGCGTATCGGCAGGCACCGGCCTACCGTGACTCCGCCTCCGCCTCCTCCTCCTCGCCACAAGATGTTCATGCCACATCGTACAGAATGAGCACAACGTCTTCGAATGTCATACTTGCCCCTTATGGCCCTCCGGGCGTGTTTTGCGTACGCGTGGCTAGCGGCTCTGCAACCCTAGAGGCAGTCCCAACAGACTTCCTATGCTTCCTGTTGTTTATCGATGACGCGAAGCTCATGGGGTAGGCCTCGTGCTCCTAAATTCTTCTTGGCGGGCGATTATGAGTGGCTCGCCATGCGCGGAAGAAGATACGGAGTCACAAGGTGTCGAAGGTCGACTTTTCCGGCAGACTTCTCCATCGATACAACCTTTTCCGGATTCTTTGTGTTACGGGGGAGTCATCTAAGAATGTGGCGACTGCATCCTATAAATTCTCGACACTGAACGGTTCCCACTCGACCGCTCCACTCCCTTCCACACGATGGCGAAACAGCCACCACAGTGGTATCGCGAATTTCGTGCCTGGTCTGCGCGCATTTCGATTCACACCCAATATTTCTCGGCCGATGAGAAGCTGCAGCTTTGTCTCCTCATCATTAACCTCATTCGACAGGCCCTCCACATATACGAGACGGTCAAAGTGACTCCGGAAGATGGATGGCAGCCCGACCGCCAGAGCGAGTTCTCTCAATTTTATGTTGCTCGTACAACTCTTTCGGAGTGAGTAGTATACATAACCTTGCACATTGATGCTTATGCATGCGCTGTAGCTTCGACAGACGGTGGTGGAGTTTGCAGCGATCTCGAGAGGATGTTACACGTTTGCTGGACGACTTACTCGACTACAAGATGACTTTCCTGGTGCAGTTACCCCCATTATCTGTTCGCTCGCGTTGCTAATTAGGTACATACATACAGACTGTCTCAAAGCAGCTCGGTGTGGAGTTCCCAGAAAAATTACGGCAGTTCGAGAGTAAATGTGCGTCCTCCGAGTCCAAGCTACAGCTACAGCAATTACTCATAATTTCTCATTCTATCATTCTGGACTGCAGACAACGATCCGGTCTGTCCTCTCTTGCCGCAGTCTGACCTTCAGTCTGACATTACGCAGGCATTCGATCCATACGCGCCACCTCCACTTCCGAGTCCGCCGACTAGTCCGCCACATCCATCATACCAGAAGACCCCAGTCGTGCGTCACCACGCCAGCCCTCCCGCACCATTTGCTTCTGGGCCCGCCCCATTGTCTAACATGCGAGACTTTAACACCGCTCGACCCGACCCCCGTGCGAACACTACTATGCCGCGGCCTCAGGCTGGATATCACGGGCACGGCGCGAGACTGGCCCCTCCTCCTGCTCATTTGTTGGCGACTGGTACTGTTACTGCTCCTCGGCAGCCTCGTCAGCGGGCTACGTCGGATGCACGCCCGCCTCCTGGGTTTATGGGCCCTCCTCATTCTCGCCTCGTCTTCGAAGGCGAAGACGACGATGAAGACGAGGCTGTCCCCCTAGACAAAGCTTCGATGTTCAAGAAGGGCCACAAGTCGAAGAGAGACGGTCCATCGCTAAGCGCCGTCGGCGCGGGTCTTGGTAAACTCTTTGGCCGTCGCTCGTCTAAGGACTCTCATAGCTCGAAGGGGAATTCGCAGCCATCCCCCGACACTACTCCCCCTTCCAGCACGAATTCTCGTCAAAGCTCCCTTCGCCAGGGTTATGCCCAGTTTCCACCTGTGAACCCGCGCGCGCAGGCGCCATACATAGCTAGGCCTCTGTCACCGTCTCGGTCTGCTTATGATCTTCGCTCGTTTGCTTCGCCGCCCCAGTCCTACGATGAGCAGGTTGCTCGCCACCTCCACCAACAGCTCAACGGACCGTCCGGGACTAACAGACGGACGAGGCAGCAGGTTACGACGACTTGGCAGACTGGAGCTGGTGCGTCAGCCAATGTAGCGGGCTCGTCTTCGGATGAAGAAGACGATGCAGAGGAAGAGGAAGAGGTTGATCCTCGATACTATGGTCATGGCCGTTATTATCCGCCTCCTCGCGGCGGACCGCCTCCTCCAGGTGCTGGAGGTTCCGGATCCGGCGCTGGATCTACTTCACGCCGTCTCTTCCAGTAACTTCATACCGTTTGCAAGGTCCCTCGGGACCTCGCCTCATGTCGCCCATTTCTCAAGGGCTTCCACCTCTGCCTCCCGCTGACACCCCAAATCTTCTGCTTTTGACTCTTGCGCAACCTTGGCTTCACTATCACGACTTGACTCCTATGATGAACAGCCACTTCCGCTGACGACCTCTGAACTGACGTGACCCCACCATACCTACGAATGGAACAGAACGAACGAAACGACGGGAAAGTGCTTCACAACGACCGTGCTCCGCGTACCGGTCGCAAAGAATTTGCTTGTTTTCGAATGTAACCTTCACGCCACCCTTCACGAATATAGCTATCACTTTTTGAACGCGTTGGTGTTCGTAAACAGTGGCCATTTGCAAGTGAAGGCTACAGTGAGTCGAGACTACAAGTCGGTGACGCCCAGTCTTACGTGTGACGAACTGTGACAGAGTTGGAGCTCGTCGAGGACGAGGTGAGAACACGGCCGCTTTGCTCGATGTCGATGAGCGTCGATCCAGAAGGCCCGGTCGTCCCGCCCGAAGTAAGACCAGCAGATGCACCGGTGAAAGTGACAGTGCCGAAGTTCGCGAACGGCACCTACCACATTGTCAGCGCCATCGTCTCAGGCTGGCCCGGGAGCCTGTGCAACTATACTCACCATCGAGTTACCCGAAAGGAAGTCCTCGACGATCCACTCAGCGTTCTGCTCGCACAAAGAGCTGGTGGAGGTCAGGCTCTTGCTGACGGTCTGCCCGGTGGACACGTTCTGGATGACTGCAGATCCAGAACGCGTCGTGTTCGCGGTAACGGTGACCTTGATCGTGTCGCCGGCGTGGATGGTAATGCCAGTGAAGTCGTGCGCGAAGTCTGTCCAGAGTTAGTTGATGCTTAAAGTAGGAGGGGAAGGAAATCATGTACCAGGGAACCACTCGTACCAAGCTGCGAATATGGATCAGATTCCTTCCGCAGTGTGTACAAGGATACCAGCTTACCATCGAAGGACACCGTGGAGCCGCGGATGGTGAAGTCGAGGCCGGTCTGGAGAATGGCAGACCCGCAGGTGTCGCCATCGATGCCAACCCACGCCGACGCGGAGTAGGTGGTCGAGGTCGAGCCTCCCGACGGGATCTTCGGCGTCGGAACGACGAATGT